TTATATATATATATATATAAGCTACTGTCATAAATAGAACTGAATAGTTCAAAAGACGTACTTGAAGACCCAAAACTTTGAAACTGATTTTGTATCACATAAACAATACAGTAAATAGAACTTCAGCAGCAGTATAAAAAAATACAGTTAAAATATAGGAGAGGAGAAAGAAAAATGATAATTTTGCTTTAATGTTTTTAAGGACCTTAACTATATACACAAAACAATTTACAAATGCAACTGTAAAAAAAAAAAGCTTTGTGGGAGAAATGACAATAAAAGGAAATTTTGTTTAAATAAGTCTGAAAATACTACTGCCATACTGAATTACTTCGATTTTGTTATGATTGCTGATATTATCCTTTATGTGGAATGTTTTAGTATAAGAATGGCATTAAATTAATAATTTGCAGTTATAAGAATATTAGTAGAACATGTCAAAATGTGACAAAATTTATAGAATTGTAGTATTTCACCCAATTCACATTCTTATCTAAGCACACAAAATCAAATATTTGGCCACAAAGATCTCTTTCTCAAACTACTTTTAAAACTTAAAAACCTTGTCTGTCAATTTTTATACTCTGAGTATTCACTTCATTTTCAAAGGTTTGAATTATTTCTGTTTATGCACTTAAGAGCAGAACAACTTTATAGTACCCCTCCCTCAAATATTTGAATTAGTCATCCATGCTTTTTACACATGTTAACAGAATTTTCAGAGTTTAACAAAACATTGAATTTATAAACAAAATTTTGGAAAATTACACACCAAACCTATTCAAAACTCAAACATTCCTAATGCACATGTATTTTCTGAAAAATATAAAAATTTAACAATATTTAACAAAAACAGTTTACACAATACTCTGAAAATTGTCTTTTAAAAAATCATTCTGATGGTACAGCATTATATGAAACTTATGATTTAAAATTCTTAAAGTAGAAAAATGTTTTATTCAATGTTAACAACATATACACATGAGTCACTCTTAGTAGACCTTATATCTATATGTATAATAGTTTTTGCATATTTCTTTTTCTCTTCTTCGTTTTTTATGTTCACCCACAGTGGATGGACAAACATCCCAAATGATATCCACTACCAGCACTTTTGTTTAAAATTTTTTTTGCTAAAATTATAATAAATAATTAATTAAAAAGAACGTTTTATATTTACACAATAAAAACTTTTATTGAAGCCGTTCGTCTTCCACTTTAAAATCTCTACAGGTACATGTTTCGACGTGATCTACGTCATCTTCGGGAGTAACTTACAAGACTGTTTTATACTTTCCCCCTTGTCGTATTACTTCATTGTTATTTACATATTTCCGTTAATAATAATAATAAAAAATACAATATATCTTGCCATATATCAACATATTAAATTGCTGGTCCTTCTTCTCTATTTAATACTTGGTTTTGTTTTTTATATTTCATTATTTCTAATGTTTCTCTAATATTTAATGATTTAAAACTTCGAGGCTTAGCTAAGACTAAAGTTTTTTCCCATAATATTGTATGTTGGG